AATAATGAAATTTATAGGATTTAACATTCAAATAAATTTAACATTCAAATAAAATCTATAAAATCTTCTCTAAAACACAACCACACATTAGGATAGCTTGGGAAGTCACTGAGGGTTCCCCTCAGAATCTGTGACATCCCCTATCTTTTACTTCTTTTGAACTCCTGAAAGAATTGTTCTTACTTGAGTCATTTCCACTTGTTTTTCCACGTACTACCTTGAAAACCTGAACTTTGAATTCGTGAATACTAGAACCACTGATTATTATCGAGTGATTCCCGTCACTTGGGATGTAATTAACTATAGAGGCTTGCCTCTATAGAGGACTTGAAGCCCAGGTAAAATAAACCCTATTTAATCTTTGTATTAAATAGGAAAATTTATCGGTCGCATATAAATTGTTCGCAGACCAAATGAATGTCACAAGCCTCGTAGTTTGTATGATTGAGTCCACCGCCGCGGGGTACACTTATCTTTCGAGAATGTGTATCATTTGTGGTACCGAACACAATTATACAAATTATTGGACAAATGAGATCTAGTCGGTCCATTTTTCTTTTAAAATTAAAATACACTATTTTCATAAAATTATATACCTGTTAGGTTAAATTAAATCATCTATTTTTCAAAACTATAAAAATACTTTTCGAAATCGAAAAAGTTGACCGACATGTACATGTAAATTCCCCCTTCGATGCAAGATAAAGCCCCATTGACAATCAAATATTTCAAACGACAAGAACCAAATAGCCATAGAGAGGAAAACCGAGAAGTCCAAGTGCACAACCTTTTGAATTTCAAGAGATAAGCACCAATCCACCCACACCACATAAACAACATGAACCAAAGCATCATCACATTATATATATATATATATATATATATCTGTGTGTGTCTGTATATACATAAATAAATATTAAACAACTAAACTTTAATATTTTCTTTTATTACGCTCAAACATTCAACATCACATATATAAATTTTAGATGCAAGATATGTACATGCATCTCAACAAGAAAAACAAATATTTAAAACGGAAAACAACACACGATCACCACAGGGGACAATCGAAAAGCCCCATTGGCACAACCTTAACCACCAAAACACCAAAAGAGAGTAATATCGAAAAGCTCAATAGGAAAAACAACTAGGAAAACCAAGAAACTCTACAGAGAAAGCCACACACCACCTTAAGCACCAAACAACCAACCGGTAAACTGAGAAGCTCCATAGGGAAAGCCACATACCACCTCAAACACCAAACCATTAACAAGTAAACCAAAAGCTCAACAAGAAAAAAAGAACAAGGTAAAGCGGAAAAAGTTGAAGTACTACCACAGAGGACAATTGAGAAAGGAAGGAGAATAGTACTATGTACAGAGAGAGGTGGCTGAAGCAAAGAAGAATGAAGGGGAGAAGGCGCCAAAGAACCAATATTACGCACTAAAGCCACAAAGAGAATGAATGGATGAAGATGGGGCCAAAGATGGGTATTATGGGGGATTCCCAGAGTCATTTCCCGAATTGTAGAGGGGTATATTGGTACATTCATTCCCGGAACGAACTAATAACCGCAGACCGGAGGGCTAAGGGCACGTTTCCGGTTTAGCCGCTCCGAAGCAACATGTCGCCGAAAAGCACGCGAAAAACGCTATCCCAAATTGGTGCTGAAGTGCTTTTCTAACTCCCAAATGCAATCTTTGTTTAATATACTGATCTTTGATGTTGAAATAATGGGATGTGAACTATGTTGACCATGCATTCCACCCATTTCCTCCTTATGTATATGTGATACCCAATCACCAATTAAGAGCACATCAATATTCTTAATAAGGAATTTTCTTGAGCAGGATTTGAGATATAGTTATTCATATGAGTTTGCTCCCGTTGAAAGGGAAAATTCTCTATTTTTAGAACAAACCTTGTTAAGCTAGTCAGTTAACTTGAGTAAATTTTTGGGACCTTATCCTTGTTTACCTTTGACCTTCATGTTGTTTTTCATTCTAATCCTGGAACTCTAGAAAAGCGATGAAGGAAACATGTTACCACGAGCTATGAGCACCTTTTAGAGTCAAACGTCTCTCTTGAATGTTTGAGCCTTTCACATGTACCCTATTTTGATGCATCATGTGGAAGGATGAGCAGAGTACTTAACTAAAATATCTCAACGCAAGAGAAGTTGGTGCATGCAAAACTAGTTATGAAATTATTGAAGATGTTCATATATCAATTCAGCTAGCTAGTATGCATTAGTATAATTTCGATGTTATACATAATCTTGCATAAATATTTCTTTAATATTCAGATAATGTGATAGCTATCAAGAAGCTGCGAAAAGTGGGCTTTGTTATGCTGTTTTAAATTCCTTTAGGTGTTTTTATCCATGATTTGGTCCCTTTAGCTGCCATACTTCTAACCCTGAGCAGTTTTATGTTAAGCAACGCACACAGGCACAAAGTTCCATGTCACAAAAAAGTCCTAGAAAATTTCTTGCTTCATGGAGGAAAATATATGAAACTGTTAAGGTTGTTTATTTAGCAATTTAGATAATCATTTGACATCTGTGTTTTTTGATGTTATACGTAGTCTTTTATAATATTTGGTGATGTGTTAAAATGTAATCATGCTGCGAAAAATGACCTTTTTGAACCTTCATTCCACTATTATCTTGAATAGAATTTTCATCAACAAAACTTTCTTCAATGCTCTTTTCAAAGCGACAAGAAAAAAAATTTGTTACATTGCTGAGACATGTAAGGCGCACAATCTTCTCAATTAAATTGGCAATGCATGGAACATAAACCAAGTACAACATTGGCAATACATATCAGGTACACATAACTAACTTAATACTAGCTTCATGTTTGCTAAACTTAGGATAGGTGAGACCTGCAATGCTTTAAGATGGAGAATGTTGGCCTGTAAAATAGAATAATAAATTTAAGTTTATTGTTGTTGAGATGAGAATGCTTATTGTGGATGAGTGGCTTGACACTTAAAGACAAAATACAAAATGAATATATCTGTGATAGGGTTGATGTAGCTCCAATGGAGTAAAATAGAGAGTCTTCTTAGATGGTTCGGTCACATTAAACATCGACCATTGATGATTTGGTAGGAGAGTAGACTTATGTTAAAAAAGGGAGATGTAGACCTATAAAGATTTGAGCATATTGTATAAAAAATTTTCTTAATCTATTAGAATTAAATGAAAGAATGACACTCAATAGGGTGCAATGGAGAAAAAAAGATTCATGCAACCAACCCTAGTTAGGCTCTGTTTGGCACGGCTTCCTCTGCGCGGTGCAGCGTGAGGCCGCGATTTTGCACTGTTTGGCGCGGCATTTTGCTTGTTGCTGCCGCGAATCCAGGCGAAATGCCGAGTGTGGGTGAGACCCTGCGACCCGCGTTATCGCTCCGCTTTTTTACTCTCGTACCCCTAATTTCTCCTTCGTTTCGTTAGTTCTCAGCGCCCCGCCGGGAGGAAGGAGGAAATTAATGTTACTGCTGGTGGGCCAAGGGTCGTCCGATCACTCTCAATATCCAATGATTTCCTCCCCCCATCGTCGCTCACATGTACCGTTCACCCCTTCCCTCAAGGTCTATGGCAAGTTGAAACGTTGCTTCCCCTCGCATTCTCTGGTCTTTTTCCTTCGATTTGTGTAGGTTTTGGTTGGAACAAAATTTGCTTATCAATGAAGAAACATATTTTTTTAAAATTTTTTTGCAAAATGGTTTTTATGTTCCTTCTCTTTTGGCAGTATCTTAATGTGTGCGTAATTATGCATATTTCTACTCATTCAGATTGTTTTTGTTCTAAGTGTTGCAGCTGTAGGGTTTTCTGTATGTGGTTTTTTTTTGTTTCTCTTCCTACTTTATAATGGAGGGTACTTATATTGAAGTACACGTTTGAGCATTCGGAAGTCACTGTCAAGCGGCTTATGCATTTTTTAGCAAATGCAATTCAGAACAAAGGATATATCAGGCCTTGTGATATGACATAATGCAAAGAACAAGCTAAAATTTGCTAGTGCAGGATTTGAAAACAATTTTTCAGAATCAAGAGTGGTAGTTGAAAAACTGCAAGGGGGTAGAAACGGTTTTACAGTTTTTTATTACATGTTCTTCTAGCAGCTTAATTATTTATTTAGATTGATTAGGTGTTTCTAGTGCTTTGAGCTATGATTTGTATACCAAAAAAGTAAGATATTGATCCCAAGTTTTTTCACGTTAAATCATTTTTATTGACTATCAAGCAGTTTATGATTCATGGTAAAATAGTTATGTTAATAGTATATTATCTACATATATAAGAATGCAAAGCTGTATAGAATTGCGATGATATAGAACCATGGAAGGAACAGTTTCACTAGACCAAATACCCTGTTAAGGTGGTTAGGAGGAGAGAGTTTCAAACCGTTACTTGGGGGTCTGTTTAAGACCATAAATGGTCTTTTATACTTTTATACTTTTAGAACCAGAGCAATATGGGCTTTTATACTTTGTCATTTTATAGTTTTATACTTTTAAGACCATAAATGCATCCTCACATGTGAAGTGATTCTTACTTGTGGCTATATGCAATATTCTGCTGCAAATTAATTTGGAGCATCTATCTACGTTTATGGAGCAATGAATCGGATTGCTGAACTAGGATTTCTGGTGCATGGAGTGGATTAAATAAATATCAAAAAGTGGTTTTATTGTTTAACAACAGAGAATTAGGTTTTGAAGCGGGTGATCAAGTTCTTGTTCTCCTACGACTTCCCCAACTGTCTTCTATTGCTCAGCAACATTATTGTAAGCTTAACCAACATTATTATGGTCCCTTTTAGACTAAGCGAATTGCAAGCGTGGCTTATAAACTGTATTTTCCAACAGTTACAAAAATTCATTCAATTAGGAAGGCGTTAAGCTCTTATATTTTCTGGCGTCTGTTAGAATAGTGCCATTAAGCTCTTAAATATATACCACCCAATTCCTTTGTATTTATATATCAGGTGTTAGATTTGATTCATATGCATATGCTGCAAGATGATGGTGGATTGAAGTCGAATGGCATGTATTAATGCATTATTGATGCTTTAGTCTGCAAACAAAGCACATTAGTTTCGGGGTCTCTAATGGAAGCTCTTTCAATGAAACCTATCTCAACTCTTTGTTTAGGCATGGAAAATGGCTTACCTGGGTTCTTCTGTGATTGAAGTTCTGTTAAGCTAATTTTTTATGATGGGGCCATGGCAGCTTGGACGGGTTTTGCAGCTGGGAAGCCGTTTGCTTGATTTTTTTTGAATTAAATAAAGGTATTTACTTAACATAGACTGTTAATTTATGATTATTATTATTCTCTTTAATGCAAATAGGATGCATGTGGAATTCAAGCAAGGGGACAAGTAATGTGTACTTAAAAGAGCTTGGGAACTGATTCAATTGAATTTTAGCATATTTCTGACATGTCCTGTTTAACACTTTTGATACTCACTGCTAGGTGAGTGGCGTATTCGTATTATTATTATTATTTTAAATAAATTTATACTTCTGAATTATCAAATATTTCGCTATCATAATTCTGTTTTAAATAACTTCACTAAACTGGGGTAGAATGTTATTTTTACAGAAACATCTACCCCACAACTGTTCTCATATAGCTGCAACAAACAGACAGTCAGCTTCCCCGCAGCAGCTTCCTGAGGCAGCGCAGTTGCAACTGAAAAACTGAAAAGCTGCAGCTGCGCCAAACAGAGCCTTAGTTGGAGGAAGGATTGCTATTGTTTTTATTGTTGTGTACTGTTTTACCTTGGTAGTTCTTCTACTTTCAAAGTTCTCAACATATTTATCATGTCTATTACACATGTTTTTGCACCATAGTTTTTTGGAGCTTTTGCATGCATACCACTCAATTCTATGAACATATCTAACATCAAAACTTTGCCTTTTTACATTTATACCTCTAAAATCTTTCATATCACATCAAAATTATAACTATTTCAATTTTTAAAACGAGAAATAAACATTTTCATGTAAATATAAGGCATCATGCCTGTAAAAATTGTAGTTTTGGGAGTAAATATTTTAATACATTGGAATTGTATGTTGATCTTCATTTTGTTTTGGAAGATTTACATATATACATACCGCTCAATTCTTATCCATTTACATATCTAACTCAAACTTTCTTTTTTACATACATGCCTCCTTACATGTAAAAGGGTGTATTTCACTTTTTAGAATAGTGGTATTTTTATGTAATATGAAAGATTTGAGTGGTATAAAAGTAAAAAAAAAAAGTAAAGTTTTGAGTGCTATATTTGTAAATACATAAGAATTGAGTGTTGTCCCGCCCAAAATTGAGCCAATCAGATTTGTTTTTAAATAATATGAAACTTTTATTCAGTCAATTTAGTTTGGTTTTTAATGAATCAAAATGTAATTAATTTAATTAATTAAATCTAATTAACTTTTTTTTTTTTTTTTTTTTTTTTTTGCTTAAATTGCATCACTTAGGATGGAACTAAATAATTTACGCTACAATTTTTAATCTTGTCATGACAAATAAACTATAATCAGGTTGGAAATAGAACTCAAAGCACATGATGTTATTCAGAAAGGGCATTATTATGACAAATGACCGACTGTTCGCTATGATTAATTGATCTATTTATTTTTTGAGGACATTTACATAAATATCTAACACCTAACATTCATATCTACATGCATGACGCTCAAACCTTTATGAAACCAAAGTAATATAAGTGCTAATATTAAATTTGGAGAGTCTGATATGTAAGTATCTTTCTCTATACCAAGGAAACCTTCCTCTTATCCCAAGAAAACCGAAGAACAACACAAAAGGCTGTGCTATAAACTCAAGGAGAGTCGCTGCGATGCCTTTTATCACGAAGAGGAAGGAGTGGTTGGCGCCTACGGTTCACGACCGAGAGGCGGGAGGCGGGTTAGCGAAGTTGTAAGGTCGCGGTCGCGACCTTTCGCGATCGGGAATAGGGAGCAGGAACAGGGAGCGGGAGATCGGGAGGCGGATCGGGCTCCAGCTTAACAAAGAAAATGTTTAAAAAGTAAAAGCAATAGAAATTAAGGATTCTTTTATTAGAATTATTCCCGGTGTAATAAAAGTTTAGATAGGAATTGATTTTTGGGGCATTTTTGTGGGATATAAATATTGCATGGTAAAATTTTTATGTATTTGAAATATTTACCTCAATTTTAATATTCAAGAAGGCTTAAATAGAAAAAGTATTAATGATGTATTATCATTTAAACTAACTTTTCTCAAGTGAATTGACATTGACTTTTGTTTTGTCGTCATAGAAAGGAAAAATTATTCCCCGCACGCAGCTTGCTTGCGGTGTCCGATCCGGACTGTAAATCACCTGATCTACGGTCCCGATGTATTTCGGCAGGCCCCACCTAAATTTTTTTTTTAAAAAAAATTTAGGAAATAATCCTGACCGTAGATCACCGTGATCTACGGCCAGGATCGGACACCGCATGCAGAGATGCATGCGGTGTCCGCACGCAATAATTCCTCCATAGAAAGCCAGAGGAGGCCGCCTTCTTTTATTAAATGAACATTTGGAGCCAATTGGGGCTAGGCTGATTTCAGGTAATAATGTTAATATTTTGAAATATATTTTACTTTTTTTCAATATAAATTTAGTAAGATTTAATTATATGCCACTCAATTTTTATATATTTACATGTCTAAGGTCCATGCTACAATTTTTACGAATGAATAACCTTATGCGTGAAAGGGTTTATTTCACTTTTTAACTATTTGGGGCAGCTCCATTTGTTTGAAGTAGTTGTAAAGCTGCTTCTGGAGAAATTGTTGAGAGAAAGTTGGTGTTGGTAAGATAGTTTGTCTGTTTGGTTAATCTACGGTACTATAGTTATTTTTGAGAAAGAAAGAATGATCTTATGTACATGTGCAAGTTGTAAGTTAATTATTCATAACAAAATTAAACAAAACACTATAAAGAAATTTTCAAAAATTTACAGAGTCAAAAGTTGAACATTCTACATCAAAAGTTGTACATCGCTTAATAATGAGCAACACAAAAATTAAAATTATAATAACAACTAATGTTATCATATTATTACTCTTGGTGTCCAAATGATGAAGTCTTTCGGAGAATTTTCTCGCCAAAGCTACTCTTAACACTTGATCACTATCTGAAGTGAATTCGTCATAGTTATTAGCTCATCTAAATAACATGCAATCCTCTACTGATCAACTTTTAGGACAAATATAAAATTATCTTCTAAAACTAGCTTTCGACGTGACGTGAACACACAACATTGCAAACCCTTGCAATAAATAACTCTAGTAGCAGTAGAAGTCCTTGAATTCATATTTTTTTATGATAAAAATTTTAGTACACTAGTCTCAACTTTATCACAAAATGAGTATTGCAAATCACAGTTTAAATAAAAACACGTCACAATATAGATTTCAACACATAAACATGTTGTGAAAATTTTTAGGGCCACCCATGAGTAACTCAAAGGCTCATTTCTCCCCAATAAAGGAAGAAATCATACATGGTGTTTTGCAAATATATGATTCATGACACTCTTAAATTAGGCATATAACTATGACAATGATTTTCATACATTGATCTCTTCGATTAATATCTATAATTGTAAAAATGAAAGAACTCATTGACTATATGAAATATATAATGACTACCAGTTATGTAGTAGAAGAAAAATGTACACTGATAGCTAACAAAATAAGATAATATCTTGAATATAATAGAACAACTCAAACATAGTTTTTTTTTCAAAAAGTTTCTAATTTTTTCAAAATTATGTTAGGTAATTTGATTCTCAAAGAAATAATAGAGATAATCAACTATTCACTCATGAACCATATCCAAAAAACTTCCTTTATTAGCATCCTAAATCACTTTTGTAAAGTGCAAATTAAGTACGTCTTTAAAAACTTCAATGTTCTGGTTAAGCATAATGATAATCGTTAGTGCACGAGGTGTACTTGAACCAGATGTCATTGTTGTACATGCATTAAACAACTATGCAATTTGATTTCTTAGAAATCTAGGACTTGCTTTTCTTTTTATTTTCTTGAAACTTTGAACTCTCAGATGGCTTACGCTACAAATAAGTAGATTCTTTATGATCATATGCCTCATGCATTAATTTCTCAACGAGGTCACTAGAGCTCTCTCTGGGGTCAGGATTGTAATGACCATATGTACGTAGGTTCATGAGAGTCTTAGCTTGGAGTCCATGCATAAGCTCCAATAGCAACAACACCACCAATTATCTTGTTTGGCTTCTCTTTTAGTTCTTAATCTATACCACGCTATATGCATTTTTTTGGCATTTAACACTACCTACAATTTATGGAACATATATATGAATTGTAAGCAAATAATCTACCTATAGCTTCTCTCACCACTACTCATCTGATGCATCAATGGTCTTCTTTATAGAATCCCAATCCAACCGAATTGATTCTTGTTTCAACTTATTCCATAATTTTTCAATTAATCCCATTTATTTTTTAATTAAGTTATGTTAGACTCTCTACAAGTTCTCTCTTAGAAATTTGTCATAATATTATGTCAAATCTTCTTATGAAATCGAGTTATTGGTCGTTGTCTAATTGGACCTCTTTCAAACAAAGGTCGCAAAAATTCAATTTTCACATCCCGTTTTCAAGCGGCACTTGCTCTAAACTCTCTTGAAGTTCTCATTTGAAATGATTTAAAAACAACATAAAAACAAACATACTTTAAATTCATATAAAATTTTCAAAAGTATTTAAGTTCAAGCAGATATAATAAATGACAAAGTGAAATTTATATATATCTATAGATATAACACCTAAACATTCATATCTAACACCTAGACATTCATTATGCGGTATGTATGCAAATGATTGGAATTCAGACATTCATGACATGAGGAGATTTACAAATGAAACAAAACTGAAAGGTCAAAAGAATCAACACTAAGAGTCCAAATTGCAAGTTCAACATTTATGCCCTCACAGGAATTGGAGACGCATTTTCGATCCAGGCAAGAAAATTTCAGATCATAAACCACATGTAAGTTATACTCAATGAAATCAACTCATAATTTCATTAATTTGATGAGCAAAACTAGGATTACTCCACATCCAAACAAAATTACCTCTGCAACACTCATGTCATTGTCAGAAAGTAAATGAAAATTTACCTACAACATGTAAGCAGAGAGAAAAGGCAAATGTAAAGACCATATTGAACTTCCTCCATATCAACATAACAACATCAACAACACTCATTCAATTGCAAGAAGAGGCAGTTCTGCCCAAAAAGAACATCATAAATGACACCAACTAAAACAAATCAGAACAAGGAGAGATGAAAGTAGAGGCAAATACCAGTGTGAAATATCACCCAATTCATGTTCCAAGTAGCTTACCCTAACACTCTACGTGAGATGTGAGATTGTAGCGAAGATAAAGGCAAAAGAAAATGAGCTTGGAACCTAGAGGAGAAGAAGAAACCCCGAAGAGTAAAAGGGGTTTCAACAACGTTCTCAACCCGCATACGTGATAAAAATGTTGAATTTGCAGAACATAGTATTGGAGACCAAACATAATTAAGTATTCATAATATTTCTTCTTATAATAGGTCCCAAATTCCCATTGAGATGCCTTCATTAATTTTGCATTAATATTCCCTTTATCCTCCCCTAATAAAACAAGAGCATAAAAATCATCTTTCAAAGTCATCTTTAATTTAATTGTCTTGATGATATTTAATAATTATTTTTATGAAATAAGTATATGTAATATGCTAACCAACCTTGCACTTATTTATTTTAATTAGTACTTGGAATATGTTTCTATATTTTTGAAAAAAAAAAAGATAGCATATTATTAGATAAATATTCGTAATATGAAAAAATATTACGCGTGGATGATATGTATGTGCGGATGTGTATACTTGGGTCGTACACACATAATCCGCACGCACCAATGTTGCACGTAATATTTCCTCCTTTTAATAAACACAACCAACCTTCTTTAACAATATAAAAACATTTTTGTAATTTAATAATTTACTAAATAACATAATTCAATATCTTTTTGAAGTGTAATATATAATATGAATATAAAAACATTAAATATAAACAAATTAGAAAATGTATTAAAACTAAAATGATTTTTTTTTTCCATTTGGTACTTTATATTGATTAATTTTTAATTATATTATTTATTATTTATTTATTTTTGTTTAATTTATCAATTTATCTTCATTGATTGCAAACAAACAACTCGAATTCAATGGGTTAATGTTTGCGTTAAAATTGTGTAAAACCAATTTTGATGACAATGGACTTTCACCTAATTTCTTCTTAAAAAATAAATATAAAAATTAAAAAATAAAAATCCTATATTATCCTTTTTTTTCCAAAAATAATAATTCTATATTATCGCATTCTCAAAATAATAACGATAATATGTTGGCAAGCTGTAATTCTATAAGCAGGGTGTAATTAATGTTGGAATATGAAATATTTTGATCGGACGATCCGGAAAGCTTCCTTCTATCAGACGGTGTTTGATGAACATTTAAGTGTCTTAACGATGTCGAAATTGAGCAATTTTGGACTCGCTCAATTTGTCTTGTTGATACGCTCGATTCAATTATATACTTGTTAGATTCGACATTCGTTTGACCTTTTAAATATGTCTGGAAAACCTTTAAGGGCGGTTTAATGATTGATTAGAGCTTGATTTGACTCGGATTGAACTAATTTTGATACCCTTGGGTCTGTTTCATTGAGCCGGTCAATTTGATTATAAGTTTGTTGAAAACAGAGCTCTGAATGACTCTTAATTGAATTTTTAATTTTTTTTGTTCAGAAGATTGCCTCGAGATTCGTGTAATGCCCGAGATTCGTGCTAGATGAAAATTTATTGGTGGCGTATCAAGTATATATATATATATA